GCCCTGCGTGGACCTCGGGCACAGCGGGGCATCCTCACCTTGCTCTGCACGATCCCTGTGCATTCCCGGGCATCCTCACCTTGCTCTGCACGGTCCTTGTGCATTCCCGGGCATCCTCACCTTGCTCTGCACGATCCCTGTGCATTCCCGGGCATCCTCACCTTGCTCTGCACGATCTTTGTGCATTCCCAGGCATCCTCACCTTGCTCTGCACAATCCTTGTGCATTCCCGGGCATCCTCACCTTGCTCTGCAGGATCCCTGTGCATTCCCGGGCATCCTCACCTTGCTCTGCACGATCCCTGTGCATTCCCGGGCATCCTCACCTTGCTCTGCATGATCCTTGTGCATTCCCGGGCATCCTCACCTTGCTCTGCATGATTCCTGTGCATTCCCGGGCATCCTCACCTTGCTCTGCACGATCTCTGTGCATTCCTTGTCACAGGAACCTTACTCTGCAGGCTCCCTGCGCACACCTGCCCTGCCTTGCACACACCTTGTCATCTGCTCTGTGCTTTGCACAGCCCTTGGGCGCTCCCGCTCACCCACACCTTGCTTTGCACGTTCCTTGTGCGCTCCTTGTCACCCACAGCTCACTCCGCGCGTTCCCGGCGTGCACCTGCCTTCCCTCGCCTGTTCCTTTTGCATTCCTTGTCGTCCACACCTTTTTCTTTGCGCTCCTCACGCACACCCGCTCGTCCACACCTTGCTTTGCACACTCCTCGTGCACTCCCCCCCTGCTGTGCCTGTCCCTGGTGCCCACCCATGCCTCACAAACCCCCCGAGCCGGGCACTGCCCCGTCCCTGACCGCCCACCCCGTGCCAGGACGCCTACAACACCGTGGTGCGGTACTTCGGCGAGAGCCCCAAGACGACCCCCCCGTCCGTCTTCTTCCCGGTCTTTGTCCGGTTCATCCGCTCCTACAAGGTGAGGTGGGACCAGGAGGGGACACACGGGGGGCGGGTGGCACTGGGGGATGGCTCCCACCGCCCCTGTGCCCCGACAGGACGCGGAGCAGGAGAACGAGACGCGGAAGAAGCAGGAGGAGGTGATGCGGGAGAAGCTGCTGGCGCAGGAGGCTAAAAAGCAGGAGAAGGTGAGAGCGGGTGGGCACCGGGTGGGCTGGGGAGGGGGGGGGCACAGCAGGGACCCCCCTGTCCCTAACCTGGACCCGCCCTCACAGCGCAACAAGTGGCAGCAGCAGGAGCTGATCGCGGAGCTGCGGCGGCGCCAGGCCAAGGACCACCGGCCCGTGTACGAGGGCAAGGACGGCACCATCGAGGACATCATCACTGGTACGGCCCCCCTGGCCCCTGCCCTGGCCGCCGGGGCTGATGTTTCCCTGTCCCCTCCACCCCCCAATTTGGCCACGGGGGCTGACATCTCCCTGTCCCCCCCGTTCCCCGCCCGTGCCCCCCGCAGCGCTGAAGAGCGTCCCCTTCACCGCCCGCACGGCCAAGCGGGGCTCCCGCTTCTTCTGCGACCCGTCCCACCACGACGAGTCCAGCTGTTAGTCCCCAGGTACCACTGCATGCCTGGATCCTCCTGGATCCCCCTCTGGATCCCCCCCCCGGATCCCTTCTGGCCCCGCATGTCCCCTCCTGCACGCCCCCTCCCCGCATGCTGTCACCCTGGGGTGCCCAGCACCCTCCAGTCCCTTGGAATGGAGCAGGATCCTGGTGAAAGACTGGATCCTGGAACAGGATCCCAGCTCAAGGCTGGATCCCAGCACTGAATCCTGGTGCAAGGTTGGATTCCCACATGGGGGTTTTGATGCAGTGTGGGGTCCCAGCACAGGATCCCAGTGCAATGCTGGGTCCCAGCACAGATCCCACTGCAAGGCTGGTCCCAGGAAGGGATTCCAGTGCAATACTGGAGGGGGTCCCAGTGCAATACCAGATCACAAGTCAGGGTCTCAGTGCGTCACTGGATCCCAGGGCAGGATCCCAGTGCACTACTGGGTCTGAGGTGGGATCCCAATGCAATACTGGATCCCAGGGAAGGGTCCCAGCGCACTGATTGACCCCAGCACGGGGTCCTAGTGCCCTACAGGATCCCAGAGTGGGATCCCAGTGCACTACTGGGTCCCAGCCCAGTGCTGGGAGGACTCACCTTGAGCTGCCTGTACCCAGGAGGGGTCACCTGGGCCCCCCTTGGGCCAGGCCAGCTGTCCCCAGCACTGTCCCTGACTGTCCCTTCTGTCCCACAGCCCGCAGGTGCATCCGCCTGTAGCCAGGAGAGGTCGAGGACCCGGCTGGGGGCAGGGGGGGCTGGGGCTGCCTCAGTTTCCCCTCCTCACCCCCCTCTGCCCTGCAGGTGCCCGGGGAGGCTCTGTCCTGTCCCGACACCATGCAGGGGTTGGGGGGGAATGTCCTCGTGCCACCGTCCTCGCGGGTGACACCCCCGTCCCTGCGCCCGGACCACCCCCAGACCACCCAAGACAGAGGCCAAATCCAGCTGTGGTGGGACCCCAGCACTGAGGGCTGACCCGTGGGGTGCCCTCTTCCAGTCGGGGTCCCCTCATCCCTGGGGTGGGAGGGTGTCACTGCCCCCACCCCACCACAGGGACCACAGGGACCCCCTCACCCCGCGCTCGACACTTTGACCACTGATGTGAACACTAAGTGCCAAAAAAAAGGGACCAAAGCCAGGCTGGGGGGGGGTGTGGGGGGAGTGGCAGGATAGTGCCCACTGTCCCAGGACCCCCCCCAGACCCACCCCCTCGCCCCCCAGTGACTTTTTGTACATGTGAAATATATGGAGTCTTTTACACGGCCACTGCCTGATTGGGGGGACCGGTGGGGGGATTCACAGAGGGGATCCGAGTGCCTGGAGTGCCCCCACCCCAGGCTGGGGGTCCCATGTCCCCAGGCGTGGGGGCCACATGGATACACAGGGGGCAGACCTTCAGCAGGGCTTTGCAGTGCTGTTATTAAAGTTATGGGATTAAAAGGGGGGGGAACCTGCTTTTGGGTGGCTGATTTGGGAGCCACCCCCCCATCACCAGCCCTGTTCAAGGGTGGGGTGATGCCAGTTCACCCCACTGCTGGTGGCTGTGGGGGACTGGGAGCAGATTAGGGGCCAGGAAGGGCTGTGGGGAGCAGGGAGGGGGGCAGGATGCAGCCCCAGGAGCAAGGGAAAAGGGGGCGAAGGGGCAGGGTCAGACATGGGAGAGGCAGGATGGGGCCAGCAGGGCAGAAAGAGTTTGGGGGGGCAGAATGTGACCACCGGGGTCTGAAGGGCTGGGAGGGGCAGGATGCGATCCCAGACCCTTGGCAGTGGGGCAGGGGCCCGGCCTCCTTCCCTGAGCCCCACCAGCCCAGGGATTAGCCCTGAAACAGGGAATAAAAGTTTCCCCTAATCCTCTTGGGGGGGATTACCAGCACTGCCGCGCCCAGGGCGGGATCCAGCCCAGCCCCGGCCCCCCCAGCACCGCTGTGGCCTTTTAATCCATCCACACGACCCCCTGCTCCATCCCGGGGGCCACCAGAGATTCTGTGGGCAGAGGCGCTGCTGCCCAGCCCCGTCCATCCACGTCCAGCCGTCCGTCCATCCGTCTGTCCGTCTGCCAAGCTCGGGCAGGTCCCAGTGCCCTCGGTGACATCCACCCTCACGAGCCCCCAGCGCCGTCCCAGAGGACTCTCAGAGATGCCACTGTCTGTCCACATCCCTCCATCCGTCCGTCCGTCCGTCCGTCCATCCGTCCGTCCCTACCTGCCCTCGGTGACGTCCACCCGCAGGAGCTCCCGGAGCCGTCCCGCTGCTGTGTGTCCGTATCCACCCAGGTCCCTCTGTCCGTGCACGGGGCTCTGTCCGTCCCTACGTGCCCTCGGTGCCCGCGTCGGGCTCGGAGGGGCCCCGCTCGCCCTGTGCCGCGGGCGCCGCCAGGCTCTCGGCCTGCAGGAGCAGGTTGCAGCCGAGGAAGAGGATGGCGAAGGCGACGGCGAGGCCGAGCACCAGCACCACGGCGATCTGGGCGGCCTCGCTCAGCCCCGTGTCCTCACGGGTGGTGTTCATGGCCCTCTCCTCCTCCTCCTCCTCCTCTTCCTCCCCGGAGCGAGTGCGGCAGCAGCGACAGACGGGGAGGGTTTAAGTGATGTCAGGGACCGTCTTATCCCCCCCTTCTCCACGGCCCCCCTCACGCCCGGAGGCGCCGGAGCCCAGTGGATCCCCCCCACCCCGGGGAGGGAGGGAGCAGCTCTGCCCCCCCTTGGTGCAGTGGAGGGGTGCAGGGTCCTGCATGGAGGGAGGGGTCACCCCAGGCCCTCCCCGATGTGCCTGGGGGCAACTGGGGCTGCCTCGCTCCGGGTGTGGGCAGCACTGACCCCCTGCCCACTGCAGCCCCCCAGCACTGGGGTGCAGTGGGGACCCCCAGCTCAGCTCCATAGTCTCAGGGTTCCACAGCTCAGCCCCATGGCACTGGAGTGCGATGGGGACCCCCAGCTCAGCCCCATGACACTGGGGACCCCCAGCTCAGCCCCACAGTGCTGGGGAATGATGGGGACCCCCCAGATCAGCCCCATGACACTGGGGACCCCCAGCTCGGCCCCCCAGTGCTGGGGAATGATGGGGACACCCCCCAGCTCAGCCCCACAGCACCGAGGCCCCCCAGCTCAGCCTCAGCACCTGCTTCCCCCCTCCCACGGCCCTGAGCCCCCTCCAGCCAGGATGTGACCAGTCTCCATGTGAAAGCAGGAACACTTTATTTTTGGGGCAGTTCCAGCCCCCCAGGGAACAGGGTGACACCGGGCGGGGGACAGTTGGTGACAAGGGACACAGCCAGCACTGGCTGTGTGGCACCAAATGTGCTTCAGAGGGGTGGGGTTCAGGTGTCACTCCGCCCCTCAACACCCTGTGCCAGGCCCCAGCACCCCCGTGCCAGGCCCCAGTGCCACGCCAAGCTGGTGCCACACGTGCCCCGAGGACTCACCCCCGTCATCAGCCAGGCCAGAGCTGCCGAGCCGGTTCTCCAGGACGGACAAGACCAAGGAGCAGCAACCCCCAATTACAGGCCAGGCCGAGCCCAGCTCCTCCCAGAGGCTTTCTGGAGGTGGAGAAGGGGATCCAAGCAGAGCCTCTTGTCCCCAGGAGGTGCCACCAGCCGGGGTGACCCTGCCGGGGTGACCTCAGCCCTACAGCGCCAGCGTGTCCTTGATGAGCCGGCGCATGGTGGTGGTGACCGAGGTGCCCAGGGAGTCCGTGATCTGGTAGGAGATCTTGTACAGGTAGGGCTGCACGTCCTTCAGGCTGGTGTCGAAGACGTTGTCCACCTCGGACTGGGTGGGCATCTTGGGCAGGTACTCGTGGCGGTTCATCACCTCCACGATGTTGATGATCTTCTCGCAGAGCTTCTCGCCCACCTTCTCGCGGCAGATCTGCCGCTCCTGCTCGTTGGCCAGGTTCACCACGTTCACCTTGATGGTCCAGAGCTCCCAGGGGATGCACTCGTCCGAGAAGGGCCACCGCGACTTCTTCTTCTGGTAGAACTCCAGGGAGATCTGCCCCATCCCGTCGCTGCCGGAGCCGCGCAGAGCGTCCTGCGGGGCAGCATTTGGGTCGGGGGGGAACAGGGACTGACCCCCCCGGGGCACATCCCTTGGGACTGTACTGAATCACACAATATCCTGAGTTGGGAGGGCCCCACAAGCATCATCCAGTCCCTGCACGGACACCCCAACAATCCCACCCTGTCCCTCAGAGCATTGTCCAAACGCTCCTGGAGCTCTGGCAGCCTTGGGGCCGTGCCCACTGCCCTGGGGAGCCTGGTCAGTGCCCAGCCACCCTCTGGGGGAAGAATCTTTCCCTGATATTCAACCTGACCCTCCCCTGACACAGCTCCAGCCATTCCCTCACGTCCTGTCCCTGCTCACAGAGAGCAGAGATTGGAACTGCAGACCCTGAGGAGTCTCCCCTCAGTCTCCTCCTCTCCAGCTGAACAGACCAAGTGCCCTCAGCTGCTCCTCGTGGGGCTGCCCCTCGAGGCCCTTTCCACTGCCTTTCACCCCTGCTGGGCCCCCCTCACCTTGAACTCCCCCACGGCCTTGCGCAGGGCCCGGTCCAGCTCCTCGGAGGAGACTCGCACGTAGGCGAAGTCGATGAAGTCGCAGTCCACGTCCTGGGTGCCCACGGTGCCGATGGAGTAGGTGCCCTCCTTCTTGTAGTGGAACTTGCCGGTGCTGCGGTGCAGCAGGACGGTGTGGAGCACGGCCAGCATGGCCTCCTCCACCTGCCGCCCCTCCACCGACACCTCCAGCACCTCGGCGCGGCAGTTCATGGCGGGGGCGGCGCCGGGGGGGCCACAGCAGCGGGTGCTGGGGGGGCACAAGGGTGGGGAGGGGATGGGGGGTGTCGGTTGTACCCCCTGCTCAGGTGGCAGCCCCTCTGGGGACCCCCCTGAACCCACCCCTGGGGACGCTGGTGTTCCAGTGAGTGCCCCCCCATCCCAGCACAGGCCCCCCAGTATCTGACAGGGACCCAGCCCGGGTCCCCCATAACCCCGCAGAGCCCCTCACACCCCACAGAGACCCCAGTGTCCTGGTCTGGCCCTGGCACAGCCCAGGGGGGTGACCAGTGTGTGACCTCCCCGCCCCACACGGCCCGGTCCGCTCCCCCTCAGCCTCCCCCGAAGCGTCCCAAGCTCCCCTCGGGCTCCAGGGCCCGGATCCCCTTCAGTCCCCGGGCCCCTCACCCCCTCCAGGGGCCGCAGCCTCCCTCACCCCCGATCCCGGCCCCGGTCCCGGTCCCGGTCCCAGCCCCGATCCCGATCCCGATCCCGATCCCCACTCACCGCCCGGGCCCGACCATCTGACGGCGGGGAGGAGGGAAATGGACCATCCCATCTGCGCAGGGGGCGTCGGGACACACCACGAGGGCCGCGGCGACGCCTCCCGCTGTAACGGCCGTGTTTCCTCACTCTACATCTATTTCCGTTAGTTTTGTGCCCCCCCCCCCCCTCCGGTGCCGTTTCTCGCCGCGAGCCGTCTCCGGGGGCGGAGTCGCCGTTCCCCTTATGAGGATCTCCCCCTTCCCGGATTGGTTCGTTCCCAGAGCGCCACAGAGTTGCGCCCGCCGCGGCGCAGAGCGGCTCAGCGCCTCCACAGCGCCCCCTGGGCTGGAGGCCCCCGCGGCGGGACTGCAGCGGGGCGGGGCGTCCGGTGACCTCCCGTGACCCCCGCGGGGGCAAGTGGACAACGGGGGGACCTGCGTGGGGACAGGGGCCACAGGGGCACGGGGAACACCGACACGGGGACAGCAGGGACATAGGGAAAGGGGGGGAAGCAGGGACGGATGGACACAAGGGACAGAATGACACAGGGACATGGCGACACGGGGCACAGGGGATACTGGAAACGGGGACGTGGGGACATGAGAGATATGGGGACAGGATGGATGGATGGATGGATGGACGTGGGGGACACAGGGAATGAGGATATGGAGATTTGGGACACGTGCCCAGGTGCAAATAAGCAGGAGGTCTGTGGCCATGGCATGTCCCCGGGCACACGCTGTGGCACCCTGTCCCTGCCATGCAGCCCCGGGGCCACCAGTGTGGCCAGAGCTGGCCATGGGGCTATTTTTACCTGGCCCTGCTGGCACCATGTCCCCATCCTTCCTGCAGCCAAGGGGACGGGGACAGGGACAAGGTGGGCAGAGGCCAGTCCTGAGCTGTGGGCAGGGGACAGGGACCTGTGGCACGGCCACTCCTGCAGCTGGAGCAGAGCCGAGCTGTGCTGTGCCGGGGGCCCACCCTGTGCCCCCCATGCCCTGTG